TCTGCTTTGCAACCAGGCAGGTGCGTAAATGGCCATTCCGGTGGCCATCCGTGAGCTCTCACGCTGCTCAGGCCTGGTGCACGTGTGTGTCGGGCCACTGCTTCTACCACTTCCCCACACTCTGTGCAGTCCTACAAAAACGGGACCACTTCTCTCTCTCTTGCTAACTGGTCGAACACCTTCTAACCAGTCTAGGGACATCTAACTCAACCTTCCAGCCCTCAGGGCCCTGTATCACCTCTTGAGAACAGTTACCTTTGTCAACAACCTGCAGTTGTAGCCTCCAAACTGCCAGACCTTTGCTGACCCCTACAAAGGGTCTTGGGGGACCCTGGGGTTCCTGGACCACACTTGGTGAAACCATGGTCTCAATCATGGCAATTCTAGTGTCACTAGATAGGACACTGTCATAGTGTCAAAGATATGTGAGTTTGGGGCACCTGGGTGGCTCAGTTGGTTAAGCATCTGAGTCTTGGTTTTGATTTGGACTCAGGTTGTAATCCTGAGTGCTGGGATTGAGCCCCGAGGGCGTAAGGCTCCCAACTCAGTGGGGAGTCTGCTTCCAGATTCTCTTTTTCTCTCTCTGTCCCTCCTCCTGATGGTACACTCCCTCTCTTTTTGAAATAAATAAATAGGTATTAAAAAAGAAAAAAGCTATGTGAGTTCTATTAATCTAAAAAGGGAACATAAGGGCACCCGGCTGGCTCATGTGGAAGAGCGTGTGACTCTTGATGTTGGGGTTGTAAGTTTGAGCCCCACCTTGGGTGTAGAAATTACTTAAACAACCAAAACAACAACAACCAAAAAAACCCACACTTAAAAAAAAAAATGGGAATTCAGATCAGATTCGAGATTATTCCTGTGTGCTTCTCTTTGGCTTGATGTCTTGCAGTCTGGGGTGCCTGGGTGGCTCAGGCGTTAAGTGTCTGCTTCAGCTCAGGTCATGGTCTCAGGGTCCTGGGATCGAGCCCCACATTGGGCTCCAGACCTGCATTGGGCTCCCTGCTCAGCAGGAAGCCTGCTTCCCCCTCTCCCACTCCCCCTGCTTGTGTTCCCTCTCTCGCTGTGTCTCTGTCAAATAAATAAATAAATAAAATCTAAAAAAAAAAAAAAAAAGACATCTTGAAGTCTCTGGGGACGATTTGGGGAATTCATTATTCAATCTTCACAGGATTCAGTATTCAAAAGGTTCTGAATCGACCGTCCTGGGTAATAAGCACTGTGGGTATTCCCAGGGCCAGCCCGGGGCCAAAAGCCTGCTGTCCCAGGAGAGCTCGGCTGTATCCCCAGTGGCTCCTTGACGGAGACTGCGAAGGGCAGAGCCTCTGTGGTGGTAAATCTGTGACTCCTTCCCAAACCCAGGAGAGGGACTCCAGGTGGGTGTCTCTCACGGTCAGACCATGGCCACCCACCGAAGCTTCTAGAATGTCAGGCCGGCTACACAACTGCAGGATGGCCTTTTCCGCCTGGTCTGGGCCAGAAGCGTGTGCGAGAGTCGTGTTGTGCCCCTGCTGTGACACCGCCTGGCACCCGGCAGGCACCCCAGCATCTGTTGAGAACACAGTCCTCCCAGCTGAGTAAGCTCCTTGCTTTCCGCAAGCTGACATTCATTACATAAAACACATTATGCAATATTATGACACCCTCACTAGGGAAGAAGTCCTTGGAAGACTTATTTTTTTACTCTCAACTCTCCTAGCTGGATTTGTGAGAAATTGATTGAAGAAAAGAATAGTTCATATATTTAGATTTTAAAATTACATAGAACTGATAGGCTAGGGGTGCCTGGGTGGCTCGGCTGGGTGAGCAAGGGACTCCTGGTTTCTGCTCAGGTCATGAACTCATGGGTGGTGGGATCTGCCCAGGTGGGCTCTGCACTCAGTGGGGAGTCCTCCTGGGGATTCTCTCCTCCTGCCCCTCCCCCCACTCGCATGAGTGCACGCACGATTTATTAAAAAAATAGATAAAATTTTTAAGAAACAAAACAAACTGGTAGGCTACAGAAAAAAGTACAGAGTTTAAAAATTATGGGGTGGTTTTGGTGGTCCTGGGGTGAGGGGTCCCAGGAACATCTGAATTATATGTTTTACACCAGTGCCTCCTCCCCTTGAGGGTTAGAAGGGCAAAGCCTCACAGAGATCTGGTTACTGGACAGCCACACGTGTAATAATCTACTGTGAAGCCAGCTTGGGTTCCAAATTCTAATGCGAAGGATGCTGGTGACCACAGGGCTGAGGGCGGGCTGGCTTGGCCCAAACCCGGAGGCGGTTCTTACCCCATGGTCATGGGGAAACAGGCAGAAGGGAGGTGTCTGAATGTGGGCCTGCTCCGGCCACTTCTGCCACTTGTAGAAAAAAGGAAGTAGAAGGCAAGCAAGGTGGCTGAGCCACCTCCCTTTCAGCAGTGACCTCCCACCCATGTCCCATCACTCTCTCAGGCCACAACAGTGCGGGGGGTGGGGTGTCCAGGGGAGCATGGAGAGTCCCTTTGAGGACCTTGGCTTAGGAGCAAAACAAAGTAGCACACATCGAGTGTCTGGGAGGGCACCCAGCAGCAGCCGGGACTGGAGTTTTCTGCAGCCACAAATGGCTTGTGTTTAATCAACAATTAGCTCCTCTTGGTTCTAGGGGAACACAGACATACTGCAACATAACTGCTTTTGGCAGGAACTTGGTTTCCTGAATCAGAAACTCCCAGTGGGTCTAGGTAACTGTGTTAGGGAAAACAGGCTTCCCCGGAAAGCCCTGGAGAACTACCATGTGGCGATCAGGATGAGGCACTGGGAGACCTGAGCCGTTTTCTTCGGCCATGTGTTTGCCATATTGCTTCTCTCGGAACGTCCCATAAAAATTTCTAGTTTTCTGTAAGGTGTGGCACCGTGAGCGGTCTGGCACCCTCCTTTAGGCCCCCCAGGTTCCTAGATGCGGTTTGATGCCCACCCCTGCTCTCCCACTCTGCCGTCTTCACCACCACCCCAGCCCTCTTCCGATCTCTCTCCTCTGCAACGACCGCAGCCGCTCTCCGCCAGGCCTCTCATGGGCTCACCCTCATGCTGTTTGAAAATAGGATTTTGGGGGCACCTGGGGGTCTCCATCGGTGGGGCATCTGCCTTCGGCTCAGGTCATGATCAGGGTCTTAGGATCAAGCGCGGTGTAGGACCCCCTGCTCAGCAGAGAATCTGCTCCCCTCCCCCGCCCCTGCTCCTGTGCTCTCTCTCTCACTCTGTCTCTCAAATAAAGACATAGTCTTCTATTATTTTTATTTTTTAATTTTTTAAAGGATTTTATTTATTCATTTGACAGACAGACATCACAAGTAGGCGGAGAGAGACAGAGGAGGAAGCAGGCTCCCTGCTGGGCAGAGAGCCTGATGTGGGGGGCTCAATCCCAGGACCCCGGGATTATGACCCGAGCTGAAGGCAGAGGCTTTAACCCACTAAGCCACCCAGGCGCCCCTAAAATCTTCTATTAAAAGACAGAGAGAGAGAGAGAGAGAAGCACAAGCAGGGGGCTCTGCAGGCAGAAAGAGAAGCATTCAGGTGTCCCAGATACATAAAATCTTTTTTTTTTTTTTTTTTAAGATTTTATTTATTTATTTGACAGACAGAGATCACAAGTAGGCAGAGGCAGGCAGAGAGAGAGGAGGGAAGCAGGCTCCTGCTGAGCAGAGAGCCTGATGCGGGGCTTGATCCCAGGACCCTGAGATCATGACTTGAGCCGAAGGCAGAGGGTTAACCCACTGAGCCATGCAGGCGCCCCAGATACATACAATCTTAAAAACAAAACAAAACAAAACAAAACTCTGCTCCTGAGCCTGATTAAAGCCCTTTACTGGCAGCCACTTGCAGGATGAATTTATCATGTGCCCTCGAGGCCTCGCCTGCCCCTAGCTACCTCTTAGCTCTCTGTTGTTGTCCCCCTGTCCCCCATCTGCCTGTCATCCACATGGAGGCCCAAGTATTTAGCACTTAACTGTACAAAACTAAACTCCCAGCTTCTCAGCCCAAACCTCTACCTCTGCTAGAGTCCTCCAAGCCAGTGTTGACTTCATCCTGGGCCTTTGTTTCTCTTACAGCCCACAGAATCTTGCCAATTCCATCTTCAAAACACATCCCAGATCCAACCGTCTCACGAGTCTGCATGGCATTGCTACCCCACACCCCCTTCTCTGTGCTCTGGCCATCTCCAGAGAGGTCCTAGAATGGTAGGTCAGGTCGTGCATGATTCGTGGCCCTGCAACCGTACACAGGCTGACCTTTGCACTCAGGGTGAAATCCCGACTCCAAGTCAGGACCCTTGGCCAGCCACCTCCTTCATCTTCTTTGCTTGGACTTTGTTTGCTGCTTGTGGGGCACCTTCTTGCCCCATCTGGGGTCCTCTTCCCCGAATCATGCCTTGCTTCTCTACTCTGTGGTTCTCCTCAAAGGTCATCGTATCTGAGTTCTTCACCAACTAACTTGCATAAAACAGCACCCCTCTTCTGCCCCCATCACCCTGTACTTAGTACAGGGCTTCAGACGGTGCTGAAAACACAGTGAGCACTTAAAAGCCTTCAAGATGTATTGAATGCTGCTCTCTCCACCTGAAGCACATCAGTTAGGTCGCCCCTTTGCCCAGGGCTGTCGAAGAGAAGCTGCAAAGCAGCCAGGGTGTCCTTTAAAATTTCCTAGTATTGGGGGGGGGGTGCCTGGGTGGCTCAGGCTATGATCTCAGGGTCCTGGGATCGAGCCCCGCGTGGGGGGGGGGGGTCTCTGCTCAGCGGGGAGCCTGCTTCCCCCTCTCTCTGCCTGCCTGTGATCTCTCTCTGTCAAATAAATAAAATCTTAAAAAAAAAAAAATTTCCTAGTAGTGGGGCGCCGGGGGGGTCCGTTAGATAAGCCTCTGCCTTCAGCGCCGGTCGCGATCTCAGGGTCCTGGGAGGGAGCCCCGCACCGGGCTTCCCGCTTAGTGCGGAGCCTGCTTCCCCTGCCCCCTGCCCCACGTGCGCTCGCTTCCTCTCAGGCAAGTAAGTAAATGGTGTAAAAAACTTCCTGGGAGCGACAGCTAGAAACGGAGGTAGAACGAGTTCTCACGGTGATTTTACTTGACGCCGTTGCCCACAGCGCGGTCCGTGTGAGGCCGACACGGACGCGGGAGAGTCTGCGCTTCCGTCCTCACGCAGGCTCCAACTCGGGCGCATCTCACGCTCACGGCACGCGGGGCTGACTCGGGCCGTCTCCCGCACCACAGTCTTCCGTGGCTGACGGCGACCGGGCGGCAGACCCAGCGCCCTCCCCGCACCGTCCCGCAGCCGCGCGCGGGGAACCCCCCCGCGGAGAGCCGTCACGAGCCGCTCGGCCCGGTCTTCACCGCACGCGTCTCCTGACGCCCGAAGTGCGCGCCCGCCCCTGCGGCTCCCCGTGCGGGGACAAGCGCGCGCGCCCGGCCCGGCGCCAGCTCCGCGCCGCTCCGCTCGCTTGGCTCCCCGGGCTCGAGCCCACGGTGCGATCGGTCACAGCGACGGCAGCTTCGGGGCCGCGCGTGAAGCGGCCGAACGCCCCCGCCTCCGCACGTTCTCGACCCGCGCTCACGCACACGCCCCGTCCGCTGCGCACCTCCGCCTGCGCCCGGCCGGACCGCGTCCGCGGAAAGTCCCCGCCCAGCTGCCGGCCTGGCCGGGGCCCGGGTCATCAACCGTCCCCGGGACGGCACCGTCAGGGACCCGGACGGGGAGCGCCGATTCCTCCCTCGCGCGCAGGCACAGCGGGGCTCCGGGGTCCCTCGAGTCATCGCCGCGCGGGAGGGCTGCCCCGCCGCGTGCCCGGCCCACCCGGGGAGGGGACCGGCCGAGGAGGGAGGAGCCGCGTCCGGCTGCCCGGCGGGGTGCGGGAGGCCGCCCGCTGCGGTCCAGGCCGCCGCCCGCCGCCCGCCGCCCGCACTCCCCGCACGCATCCGAGGGTGCGCGAGCGCGAAGACGCTCCGCCCGCCGAGGCCGCCTCCAGGCGGGACCGGGCTCGACCCCGGCGCGGGCGACGCGGCCCTACCGCCGCCACCTCGCCCTCTAGCTCAGGGAACCCCAGACCCCGGCTTTCGATCGTCTCCCTCGTCGCTTCCGGGATCTGCAGAGACCAATCGTCACGTCTGAGGGCGAAAGACCCGCCCCCTCCGCGACGCAAGCAGCCAATCCGGCTGCTCGTTACCCTCGCGTGCCGTGCGCCCGGACGCACGACCTTGACCAATCCGTCCCTGGACGTCCTTCTGGTCCCTCCCCAAGCCTGTAACCGCAGCTGTCCCTCTCGCCGCCGCCCCTTCGCCCCCGCCGGCGCACTTCCTCCCCGACGCCGTGACGTGCGCAGCCCTGTGCCCGGCCGCAGCGGGCCAATGGCGGAGGCGGATACGGCGGGCCAATGGGCGGCGGCGTCTCATGCGGCCGGCGCCCGCCGCAGCCGCCGCCGGGTCCCGGAGCCAGAGGCCGCCGAGCCGGAGCGCGATGGAGCGAGGGCCCCAGGCAGGGAGGCGCCGCCGCCGAGCGCGCGGCCCGACGTCCCCTCAGTGAGCGCCCGCGCCGCCGCGGCGCCGCCCGAGCCTGGCCGCGCCCGAGGGGCGGCTTCGCCTCCCGCCGGCCTCGCCGCTTCGCCGGCGCTCGGAGCCCGCCGCCACCGCCGCCGCCGCCTTCCCGCTCGGGCCGGGAGACGGGCCGGGGCTGCATGGCCTCGCCCGCGCGCCGCCGCTGAGCCCGCGGAGCCGTGCCGCCGGGAGCCGGTGAGAGCCGCCGCGGGCCGGGGTCGGGCGGGCGCCGGGGCGTGGGGGCCGCCGTGCGGCCTGCAGGCCTCCCCTCCGGGCGGAGCGGCGCGACGGGCGCCGGTGGGCCCGGGCGCCTCAGGGGCCGACCTGGGGCTCCGGGGGGCCCAGGCAGCCGTGAGCGGCCGACGCGAGCTCCTGGGGGGCCGTGCGGGGCCTCCGGGGGGCCCGGGGGGGCCCGGGGCCGCCGTGAAGGGCTCCGGGTGGGCCTGGGGGGCCTGGGGCGGCCGCGCGGGGCTGCGGGTGGGGCTCCGGGTGGGCCTCGGGGCCCGGACAGCCGTGGAGGGACGGACTGGGGGCTCCGGGTGGGCGTCGGGGCCCGGACAGCCGTGAGGGGCTCGGGGGCTCCGGCTGGGTCTGCCTGGCCCCTCGGCATCGGTGAGGGGCCGGCGGGGGCTCCGGGAGGGCCTGGGGGGCCCGGGGCAGCCGCGAGGGCTTGAGGGTGGGCCTGGGGGCGTTGGGGGGCTCGGGGCAGCCGCGAGGGCCGGGCGGGGCCCCAGGCGGCTGGGGAGCGGGCGCGCCGACCTCTGACCCGAGGGAGGGGTGCCGCCGCGGTGTCGGTTGTAGTTGTTATTCCCGGCGTCCCTATTATTATCGCTGTTTGGAAACGGGAGCAGGCGGCTCCCGGGCTGCGAGCCGGAGGGGGAGGGCGAAGCGGAGTCGTGGAGGCAGAGTGGGGGCGCCGGGGGCGCGCGTAGGCCCGCCGGGGGGGCAGGAATGCGGGACAGCGGCGCGGGGGTGTCGTCTCGCGCGGCGGGTAGGCGGGCCTGGGGGGCGGGTGGGAGGGAGGCGGCGGCGGCGGCGGCTGCAACAGCAGCCCTTGGCCTCCAGGAACAATGTGAGACGTTGCCTGAAATGTTAATTTCCGTTCCTCATTTCATCATCCGCTGGCAGGGCGGTAGCTGCGAGTGAGTGTGTGAGAGCGCGTGTGTGTGCGTGTGTGTGCGCGCGTGTGGGGTTGGCCTCGCCGCATGGATTCAGTCCCCTCAAAGAGGGTTTGTGCTGCTCGGTCTTGTGTCTTTGCTGCTTGGGGCTGGAGGAGGCTCGCTCCTTCTGGAGGTCTGCTCCTGTCCGGGGCCCCAGCGAGGTCTTCTGCCTGCGGTTCCTCTGGAGAGCCCGGCTCGCGTCCCAGCTTCCTGGGATTTTTGGAAGAGGCTTTGGAAGGTTGAGCTGGCCTGAGGGGGCCTGTGTTTGAAAACCACTTTGTCTCCAGCCGTTGAGATGCAGCGCGCGTCGGCTTCGCGATTTCTACAGGTTATGGGGAGTTTCACGTGCCTTTGCGAGAACAGGCTGGTTTTGCACATTTCCCAGTAGAAAATTCAAATTTCAGTCTTTTTTGTAAGGTGAGAGTTTTTAAAGTGGTCTGAGCAGTATCCTTAACGTTCCATTTCAACCGAGGAGTGAAAAGGGTGCGCAGTTGTTGAATCGCAAAACTTAGAATATTTTGGTCGTGTGGGGGATTGATGAGAGGCATTCAGCAAAAACGGTGTAACGCGATATTGCTGGTGGAAAAAGCGCCATTGACACGGTGGCTATTTTTGGTGTGTGCAGACCCAGTCAATGGCATAACTTGAATAGTTCTAAATCAGAGACCCTGAGACTGTTGATTTGATGCCTTTGGGACCTTGATTTCTCGTACTAAATGTTGCTGTCCTGGAAGGCTTGCTGTGTTTTGTGTCTTTTGAGACTGATTGCACAAGTACTGTGATATTACTTTGAAACTGGAGTTAAAAAAAGAAAAAGGAAAAACATCTTGCTCAACTCTGATTGTGGTCCTTGAGTTGGATCCCTATTTTGGTGCTTCCTCCCCGCACCCTCCATTCAGCTGTTGTCCTCTCTTGCTGTAGTTTTGTGCTGGGGAGCAGGATCTCATCGGATAGGCCCTCCTGAATTGGGTGGGAGGAAACAAAGACCATATAACTATGACATATTTTTGTGTTTTGTGCCGGCCTCTTGAGTTAGTTAAAAAGCTGCCCCAAAATATTGCTAAATTTGATCTGAATGTGAAACTTTCACAGGTTTTCAAATTCTAAGTATATATATATTTTTTAAGTGTGGAAAAAACATAAAATTAACCAGAAATTTGTGTTGAGAGGCGCCCACAGCCTTGAGTTCGGCATTTGCAGTTCTTGACTCGGGGTCCGCTTGCTTACTGGCACGGCTCTGTGGTGCGTGGACCAGCTGTGCCGATCCCACTGCCCCGCAGCACTGCTTAGGACCAGTGACTGTCACGTCAGCTGTAATCACAGTGTTGATACGGTGACAAGTAGAGCTTCGCACAGAGTTAAACCATGCTGTTTGTGTTTGAGAAGGTTTTTCAAGAAGCTTTGTGTGCCTCTGTTTTTAAGTACACTTCACATAATATGGTAAGGTTACGTTTTATCTACTGTAACGAGAGAGTTGTTTTGCATATGGGCAGTGAGCCCATTATCAATTAAATACCGTAATTAGACAGTGTCAGTAAATGCTGGTTCAGAGCATAATCTGTATTTGTTGCCAACATAAGTGTTTTGATCTGTCCATTACCCTGTGTAAGTTCCTTCATCCCTCGCATGGTAAGTTCATAGACGTGCTTTCTTTAATAGCAAGATAGCTGCTGGTTAGCAGGTGAGAATGAGGATGCGTTGCTAGCGCGACTGCACGGTGTCAGTCTGTTCCTGCTCTGTAGTCGTTGCTCTGTGGGGGTTGAGCTTGGCCTGCTCCGTAAACTTTTCTGTGCAGTTGGACTTCTCCAGTTTTATCTTAAAGCCGTAAGAGAGGGTGTCCGCCCTCAGCTCCTGGGGCTCTGGCAGTTAGAGCGTAGAAAGCCTAAAAGCCTTAGGACATGACCCACTTTAACAACTACTCTGTTAATTCTGATGAAGACATTTTTTTTTTTTTTAAAGATTTTATTTATTTATTTGACAGAGAGATCACAAGCAGGCAGAGAGGCAGGCAGAGAGAGGAGGAAGCAGGCTCCCTGCTGAGCAGAGAGCCCCCCATGCGGGGCTTGATCCCAGGACTCCGAGATCATGACCTGAGCCGAAGGCAGCGGCTTAACCCACTGAGCCACCCAGGCGCCCCTGATGAAGACATTTTTATTACGAAGTGGCTCTTCTTCTGTTTGATGGTCTTAGTCATGGTATCTTTTAAGCTAAGTCAGACTGAGCTATGTGTTCCCATGTCTGTTTTTGTTATTCTGTGCTTAACTCTGCTTCTCCTACGTGTCTAATACTGTATTTAAGTAGTGTTTTATACATACAGTAGAACTACGGATGTTATTTTTATGGTAAGGTCCCGAGGGATTATTAACTACCTAACCCTGATTGTATAATTCCCCCCCTCCCCGCCAAGTCCCCTCTGTGATTCCCTATCACTCCGGCCTTACCTCCTGATGCACGGGCTACAATGGCCCTCCATTTCCTAGACTGGGACATGTGCCTTATTCTCTCATGGCCTCGACACATGCTGGTCCTCTGTCTGGGCCAGGGTCCTGCTGCTTGTCCATCATTGCCTCCCCTCCAGATCGACAAGGTAATTCCCTCTCAGCTTTGGGTCTTAGTTAAATGCTTCCTCTTAGCCTTCTTAATCATCATTCCCAAGCAGTGAGCCACACAGTTTAACTGATCAAATGTGTAACAACTGGTTTTCATCTGTCCCTGTGAAAGAGGGCTGGATGCTTAATGACAATAGGAATGGTTTCTGATCACTCAGGGCCCGGTCTGGGGTATGACATTAGTCATGGAATTGGTTCAAGAGATAGTTGTTGAATTGTTTAAAGACTTTATATAGAAGTGTTTGAGTAATTTTGGAAAGAGAAATTTGGGATCATGAACTTTCATTTATTTGATTGGGAATAATGCTATGTGATTTCAGCCATTTTCCCATTTGTTCTCATTATAAGTTTTCCTTTACAATTTAGGTAAAGGTGTGGGACATGGCTTTTACAATTGGTACAGGACAGGAGATAAAGGAAAATAATTAATGGGAAAGTTGTCTTTGTGAAGTAAAAAGCCTCTGGAAGCAATTTTAGTAGGACTGCTACTTTTGGGGGCCAAGGTGAAGGCTTCCTGAGTGTAGTTTGCCGCTGCTGTATTTCATTTAGAACTTTGAGCCCCTTCTGGCCCCTTGTAACATAAGCAGTGGTTTAGTATGATAGTGGAGTACTGGGAAAGTTTGAACATTTTATCTTTTTTTTTTTTTTTTTTTTTTTTTTTTTTAGCCCTCCCAAGCTATTGTAATAAAAAAGTTCCTGAGCTTCAGGACCATAGCTTTAGTACAAGTATAAATTCTCTGGAATAGAGGTGGCCCCTTACTATCCCTCTGACCCCAGTTTTAGCATTTTTATTTATTTTATGTTTTAGTTTTAGCATTTTTTTAAAAAGATTTTTATTTATTTATTTGACAGAGATCACAAATAGGCAGAGAGGCAGGCAGAGAGAGAGAAAAAAAAAGCAGGCTCCCCGCTGAGCAGAGAGCCCGAGATGAGGGGCTTGATCCCAGGACCCTGAGTCCATCACCTGAGCCAAAGGCAGAGGCTTAACCCACTGAGCCACCCAGACACCCCATAGTTTTAGCATTTTTATTTTTTTAAAGATTTTTATTTATTTAACAGAGCTCACAAGCAGGCAGAGAGAGCGGGGGTTGGGGGGGGAGCAGGCTCCCCGCTGAGCAGAGAGCCCGATGTGGGGCTCGATCCCAGGACCCCGAGATCATGACCTGAGCCGAAGGCAGAGGCTTTAACCCACTGAGCCACCCAGGCGCCCAGTTTTAGCTTCTTTAAGAAGAGATTTTATTTATTTTGAGAGAGAGAGAGAGAGAGAGAGAGAGACCCTGACCTCAAGCGTGGGGAGGGGCGGAGGGAAAGAATCTCAAGCAGACTTCCCGCTGCTCAGGGAGCCGGAAGAGGGCTGGATCCCACCACCTGAGCAGGTATCAAGAGTTGACTGCTTAACCGGCTGAGCCACCCAGGTGCCCCTAGTTTTAGTATTTTAATGAAGAAAAAAGTAATCTCTTTGGAGGGAAATACACCCAAATGGAATTGTGTGTTACCCCCCTCCCTTTGTGTTCTTTGATGTTATGTAATTGACAAAAAGGTTGCTTTTGAAAAGACTAAGTATGGGTATAATTTGGGTGATAGAGACTTGAGATTTTGGTTTGAATAACTGTGTTGAATGTGTGGTTTTAACGTTTTAGGTAGTAAAGGGTGAGGGCAGTTGGTTGTGGTTGAAAATATCTAGACACCGTTCTAAAACTTAAGAAATTCCACAGTTTTGACGCTGGTTCAGTGACTGAAGAGTTAAGTGCATTTTCAGTGTGAAAATAAAAGGAGTCTGTCCCATTACTCCAGCTGA